GAAATTGTTTGCTTCTCATTGTGCAACCAAAATTTAAAAAAAAAAAAAAACTCATTATGGAATGTTAGTTATCTCAAACCGTGATAATTAAGAAGCAAAATGACATCCAAGGTGGCCTGCCTGCAACTGCATGAATTTGTTCTGTTTTTATTGACATTTCGTATTGTCTCATATATTCTTTTCCTGATTATGGCACCAAAAACTTCTCTCTGTGTTTCCAAGCTCGTCATCCCACGTGATAATTATTGTACTTAAGGATACTGTCTTGATGTGTAGTGATAAGAAGAGATTGGAAACGTTTCAATTAATTATGGTTTATTCTTGTTGAAATTTGAACACATCGATCTGATTTTTAACTTGATCTTGTTGTTAAAATTTGGACTAAAAACAGTACAAGACAAGATTCGAGATTGTAAAGCCTCAATCCCCACAATTACATCATGGGCCTTATCTTCGTTTTCTTTAATTATGTTCATCAACTTGCATGTTTTGTTTTGTTTTTTTTTAGCTATTCGGCCTTTTGAGTTTAAAATACTAATTAGTTAGAAAGTGAAAGTAAGTTTGGCAAATTTACATATAATTTTTTAATTCCTTACTTTTCTTTTCTTAGCTTAAGTCTTTTTAATTGGGTCCAATAAAGAACTAGCTTAAAAATTGTCCAAGCCTTAATTTCTATAGTATTATTCTTGATTAATCCATGAACCTCGTTTTCAATGTTGTCATTAGCTTCACAATTTGCAAAGTCCTTCTCACTTAGCACCGCTAATTTGACATTAAATATTAATTAAGTGCACCATTAAAATATTTTAGAATTTTGAAGAAGACAGCAACGGAATCCCACTAGCTGTAAAATTCCAGTTTTCTCGATTTTTTAATTAAGGAAACAGTATATAAAATTCGTTCTCATCCCTATTGTCCATAGTACATTTAAAAAAAAAAAAATTTCATGCTCATACCATATATATGTACACTAATCATGAAAACGAAATTAGCTTTTGCAGATATTGTATAATACAGCAACATGACATGCACTGCATTGAATCCGAAAGATCCATGTAGTTTTTTTTTTATTTTGATGTGATGCTAGTAACGTCGTCATTTAAGTCCATTAATATGCAAAGAAAAGCACCAATACCTATTGCACTGCTGCAGTTTTCTCGTGATTAAGAACAGACGTCGAAGGCTTTATTTCGATTGTGAAATTTTGTATTTTGAAGAATTATGTGCCCCAGCAACGGGGAGCATAAAATTATTGTTTTCAATTATAGTGTAATAATGAGAAACACGTTATGCGCGATATCCATTGTTGATATGTCCTTATGAGTATATATTCGCTAGCATGAAAGGGTACAAACATTACTGGCTTGCTCCAATCAGATTAATTATTTCCCTATCAGTGGTTGGCATGTAAAAGTGTTCGACAAAATGCCTGAGAGAGTTTTGTTGAGACATATACGAAGAGATGGGCATGTGAGACATCCGGAACAAGACAGTATATACCCGGCTGCTTTTCTTTTGTACCATGACCGCAAACATCGCTATCTTGTGTGCCTAAAATATGAGAAAGTGTAGGGTTGCCTTTGGCTATCTCTCTGTATGAGACACACTATTGCCCTTTTTTTATTATGGAAATTAATAGTTATAGAATGATTTTTTTTAAAGACTAGTTATTCATGTTATGAGTAAAAAAAATGCATTAAAAAAATACTTTCTTATTAGTCTCCACATAATTAAAACTGATCCTAATCAATAAGCTACGTAATTGATAAACCATCTCCTCAACTAGACTCTCCTTCGGTATTGATAGAAGTAGTTTTTTCCTTACATAGTTGGAGCTTTAACCCTCATAGCTGTGCCCAGCTAATAACTATAACTTAAAAATGTGTTTGTTTTAGCTTTTTGCCAACCATTATTAATTATTGGTTTTAATCAAATAAATTAGATATTTTAAATTATAAATAATAACAATTATCGATTATCAAATATCAACTATTAGTTGTTTTGAAAAATCTAATCCAAACAGTCCCTAAGACTTTTCTCTCTTCAAATTGGTTTTGTTGTTTTAGTTTGGAATGGGGTTTTAAGTAATCTGTATATTTCTTATTACATTAATATTTTGTTGTTCTTAAAAAGATTCTTGCCTCGAGTTTGTAAAAATTGGTTGAGGTTTGAGTCCATAAGGGGATTAAAATTGACCATTTGCAGAGAGTATCGAGACGTTTATCTGACCTCCTGATAAAAGGACTTGCCAATTCATTGATACCACAAAAAATTGTAGTGAAGTTACAAATTTAGATGCATTTGCAGTTTTCCACTAACATTCTATATACATTTTTAGTCTACTTGTTTTAGGACCACAAAATCACAAATAGGTAATTAAGGGTTTGGTCTTATATGTAACAGTCCATTTCATAGGCTTATAGGCTTGGGCATTTAATTCATGAAGCTAGCTAAAACAAATTCTTGAACCCAATTATAATTCCACGGATGAAGCAGAGCCAGAAACGATCAACAGAACTACAGATGGCTACACTACTTTAAAGAGTTTTTTAATCTGTGCTTTTAAATGTATATATAATTAATAGATATTTATTAATATATATTATGATTCAATAAATTTTTAGTATGAAATTATAGGTATATAAACTTAAAAATATAGTCATATATGTAAAATGTAAAAATTAATTAAATCAGTTATATTTATATTTTAATAATCGGATCAAGATGAGTATTAAGGAATGTATTGAACTAGGTGTATGTCAATCATTTTTCATAATTAATACACCTTTTAATCTTTAATTTACATTAAAAAATGAAAATATTAATATTAATTTTAGTATCAATCAATATCATATAAATAAATTTAATTAGGCGGTTCATAAATTAAATGTGAACTTTTATTTTTTTTAACAAAAATTAATTATCAAAAATTTATTAATTGCATATAGAAAAACCCTAATTTAAAAACTTGATAGAAGTTGAAATTGTAATTTGTTGATTTCAACTACAAACTTTATAAGGTGTGTGTTTTTCAATGTTTTTGAGTTAGTTTATGTACACATTACTTTATCAATATTTAAGGGGTGAACCTTCCATATTGATTTGGTAAATTTAAGAAAATTGAAATTTTGTAGATTTTATTACTAAGATTTGAAATTTTAAGTTACTTTTACTGTATATTTGAGTTAAAAAAAAAAATGAAAGAAATGGGAGGGAAAAAATTTTTAACCAATAAAATTATAACATTATAATTTAATTGGTTAAAAAAAATTTTCTTTCTTTTCTCTCAATTCAAACATACTATTACAATTATTTTGAGTTGAGGGAAGATTTTTGTCATATTTTTATTTAATTGCACGAAAATTCTTTCGTCTCTTTTCATTTCACTCAACTTAAATAGGTTGTTATCATGAGGGAAGGATTTGGAAAGATAGAGAACCAATTCTTAATATATAGTTTTATCTATGAGTTTATATATAAAAATGATCTCAAAACTCTTTAGTGTGTCCTTAACCATACCCCCAAACATGATCTTTAACGTCCATGATCTTTTGCCATACATTGATCATTTTTATTTTTTTTTATTTTTTTTTGAACAAATTGTCGACGGATGGGCTTCGAGCCCATCTATGAGGAAGGGAAAATGTACTTCAAATTGATAAGCCGCTAATTGGTCTGAAAGGCTAGGTGTCATTGATAATTTTTATTAATTTATAAATAGGTAAGAAATATGTATGCGTTTTTATTCCTCTTAAAAAATGTGTATTTTTCAATTCTTTAATATATAATTAAAAACTGTTAGTTTTAAAATTGATCTATTTTTAATTAGTTTACTGATCAATGAAGGTACATAATTTTGTTTCGATACTCTGTAGTCAAAATTTATTATCCCATCTTTGACTTTGCATGCTTTATACAGTCAAGATGTGATTGACAATTTTTTAGAAATAACATTATATAATTACA